TAACGATAGTCTGAACCGGTCCTGGGCCTCCTCTAGGTCTACTTAGCCTCGAATGAGTATCTGGTGCGATGTGGAAACATCGCTACTGGGGAGACAAAGGCGGCCGGGCGTGGTACTGGCCACCCACCTCCTCGTGCGCTGTGCCGGCCTTCATTGGTGCTCGCTAACGGCACTTTCCCCAACAGTTTCTTAAAGCTATACGGATACATTTTTTTTGTCTTTGTTTCTGTTTTCATGGGAGCGGTGGTACAGTGGTTAGCGCACCGCGCCACGATATTACCGCTAATTACGAAGGTTTTCCCGGTTTGAGTCCAGCAGGGCCGCCCTGGTTATCACTGCGTTGCCGTTAAACCGTACAACCGCAAACAGCACTTGCCCCAACAGTCTGTTCCAGCCACACGGGGCATCTTTGTCTTTGGTTTGTGCTCGAATGCGCCTGCACGCGAGTGCGTGTCGTCAGTGGCGGTGTGTCAGGCGAGAAACACGACTCTCCTCCCCACGACTCTCTCCCACGACTCTCTCCCCGCGACTCTCTCCCCACGACTCTCTCCCCGCGACTCTCTCCCCGCGACTCTCTCCCCGCGACTCTCTCCCCACGACTCTCTCCCACGACTCTCTCCCCGCGACTCTCTCCCCGCGACTCTCTCCCCACGACTCTCTCCCCGTGACTCTCTCCCACGACTCTCTCCCACGACTCTCTCCCCGCGACTCTCTCCCCGCGATCTCTCCCCGCGACTCTCTCCTCGCAACGATCTCTCCCGCGCGACGCCGCTCACTTCAGAGTGAATTAAGCACGGGGGCTGCGCAGGTAATTGCCTCGCTTTGTAACAACTATTTAATATTCCCGCTACTATAGCGGCGGCCCCCTTCCTTGCACACGGGCGGAGCGCCTCCAACAAATGTCCTCGTTTGCTTCGGGTCTCGTAAGCAATTACCCAGCGCGAGGCTGTTTACAGTTTTCTGTAGCCCGTTATTAATCCCCCCGGATTCCACTCGCCGCCTTTCTCAATCCCAAGTCCTGGGGGCCCATCACCACTCCGGCCTCCTCCTTTTTCCCTGCGTAGCGCAGCGCGCTCCGTGCGTCAATGCTCCACACCCCCCCGTTACTCGGCCCTGCTGATGTCAAGGAGGTGACGGAGGAAGCTTATTCCGCTCGCGTGCCGCTTGGTAAACAAAGTGACCACGCGTTCTCCTGCTCCTCGCAGAGGACACGGGGATCGCGGTGCCGCGTGCTAACGATCTTGGCGGTGGGGGAGGGGGGGGGGAGAGGTCAACCCCTCCAGAATCATGGGTGGATTAATTTATCGGGCTTCGTTTTGCGAGTCGAATGGAGACCTGGAGGAGGAGGCACGTGGCTTAGTAGCTGCGGCTATAGCGAGAGAGAATACTGGACCTGGTGTGCCGGGTGCGGACTTAGTTTTCCTAGCGGGCGACCAGGACGGAACCGCCCACATGAACCGCGCGCTGGGCGGTAACAGCCAATCATCAGGGAAGGCTTTTGCCGATGCCGTTTGGCAAGAGACATCCGGTGCGTTTTTGGACTTTCTTGCTGTTGCGCACGATGTCCGACGTTTTGCTCCACGTGTGCTGCTGGGACTTTCTTCGGGGAACACGGAAGAAGCTCCCCGGGACGTGGAGCGAAACGTCGGCCGACGAAAAGAACCGCGCCCGAGAGCCACAGAGCAGAGCAGACGGCGACATTCAACGCAGTTGCGGCGCCCTCTCACTGGCGTGGAGTTCTCCCTGGCCCTGTGGGGCTTCCTCCCACGTGCAGGAGGAGACATCGGTTGAGCAGTCGGACCGAACCTCTCTGCTGAGGTTTTCGTGGGCGATGATCGTGGATCTGATTGTGACTACGATCGTCGAAGCGCGTTATTGACACCAACATTTTTTTTTACTTCCATCATGAAATGGTTTTACAAAAAAAATAGTTTTTTTTAAGTTAACAGAAAAAAAATTAGAGTTTACAAAATTCAAACAATGTGCGTGAAAGGGTCTGTCACCATGACCGGTGATGATGATGATGATGAATGATACCAGCATAGGGGTGGCAGCCATAGGAGGTAAACGCGTTCATAAAGGTCCGACCACAGCGGAGACGGAGCGATGGCGGGGGGTTTGTGAAAGCGTTGGCCAGTTGCGCCGCTAGACTGATCCGCCGGTCGAAGCTTTGTTCCGTTATCGGAGCGCGTCTACCGAGTGCACGGGTGGCGAGGCTAGGCAGCGAACTATCCCTTTAATAACGTAGTCAACAGAAGTCTTCTGAGTGTCCTGCTCAATTATTTTCTTCTCGTGCCAGCGCTGCACGCGATACGCTTCATGCTTCACATTTTGGATATGACCAATTTCCATGCCCTTCGGGACAGATGTCATTTGCATGAATCAAGCAGGAGACGCCGCCGATTTATTTTTTTACAATTGTAAGAAAAGTCAGCGTTTTCCTGCTCAAATAAGCATCGCTTCCTCCACTAGCATCCTGAATCATCATCATCATCATCGGTCATGGACAATCCACTGCTGGTTGAAGCTCCGTGTAGTGGTGTAAATATGTTTTTTCATGCTGCGAGGCAGGCCCTTGCATCACAACATGCTGTACATTCTTCAATTTTGTCAGCTGTTTTATTTTTTTGTAAACTTTGAATACTATTTTTGGTGAAATTGTGCTACCCGTCGTATTCGAGACCAGCCCACGGAAGCAGACACCACTGAGCTACCACTGAGAGGTCCCTTCAAGAGACTTTCCCACCCTGTCTGCCGCCTCGATGTATATATTCATCGCGTGACAGTAGAACCGATATTTATATTCTCATTGCTGGAACTTATACAAATTAATGGCAGAACCAAATTATGGTTCATGTTTTGCAGTCAATTGTGAGCAAGCTGACACCATCAACTCCCTGCGCTCGAGAAGCCCGGTTTAATCACGGGCAGTGGCTCAAACCTGGACCCAAACTCAGGTTCTTCGCGCTCCGAGTAACCCGGTCACCTCCGAGAACACCTTGACACAGACTTTCTCTCTGTTGTTGTTGTTGTATTTGTCACGACGTGCGAAGCCCCTCCTCAGTGCCTTGGCTCAGAACATTGCCTTCCCTGTACACGGGGGATGGGGAGGCACCCTCTTGTTCCTTGCGATGGCAGCTGATCGTTTAAACCCGCGATCGCAGAGCGCCTGGCTCCGTGCCGAGACGCAGGGCGCACGATGCAGCCGCGCAGAGACGAGCTGCCCCAGCCCGTGACGTTTTATCCTGGCGCCTGGCTGGCTCTGTGGAGCTGCGCCCGCGTCGACGAGCGAAGCGCTTGGCTGCTTAAAGAAATAAAGAAATGTGCAGACCCGAACGGTGGCCGTGTCACGTGTGAAAGTTGCAACGTCACAACATTGGTGAACTGCAGAAGCGGCCGGGTGTCGCACGGGGGTCGGAGCGTGAGGTTCTCGGGTTTGCGTCCAGGGTTTCAGCCACTGCCCGTGAATCAACCGGGGTTTCCGAACGCAGGTGACTTGATGGTCTCAGCCCCGGTCACCGATGAATGCACAACAACAACATCAACAACATCAACAACAACATCAATAACAACAACATCAACAACAACAACAACATCAACAACAACAACAACATCAACAACAACATCAATAACAACAACAACAAAAACGCGCTTCGCATTGACATTAGGTCCTGCACTTAATTTGGACAAATTACAGCGGTGGGAATTAAAATATCGCTTCGACTGTCACGTGAGGCAGCTCACTTGTCGTCGCGAGAGCGAGTGGTGCAGGACTCCTTCGCGAAACATCTTCCCGCGACAGAAGGCAATGTTCACCGCGTGTCTCAATGGATGCATTACATTTTTCAGTTAAAAAAACAGAAAACAACAACAACAACATCAACAACAACAACATCAACAACAATAACAACAATAACAACAACAACAACAATAACAACAACAATAACAACAACAACATCAACAATAACAACAACATCAACAACAACAACATCAACAACAACATCAACAACAACATCAACAACAATAACAACATCAACAACAACATCAACAACAACATCAACAACAATAACAACAACAACAACAACATCAACAACAACATCAACAACAACAACATCAACAACAACATCAACAACAACATCAACAACAACATCAACAACAACAACATCAACAATAACAACAACATCAACAACAACATCAACAACAACATCAACAACATCAACAACAACAACATCAACAACAACATCAACAACAACATCAACAACAAGGAGCGGTCGGATGTCGGGCTGCCATGTTCAGACGGCACCATCCTCTAAGGGGCGTTGGGGAGACTGCGGGCACGTGACGGAACGTTGGGGTGCACGTGGCTGTGGAGCGCTGTCATACGATAAAATTGTACACCCGACGAAATACCGTAATTTAATTGGCTAATATCAGCGAGATCGGCGATTCCGTCGCGGTCCGATTTCGTTGCAACCACAGCGCAGCGAGACGATCGCGGAATCGGCACCAAACTCACGTCGGGGGGGGGGGGGGGGGAGGCGGGGGGGGGGGGGTCGTGATCCATAGCGGGCGAAGTGAAGCCCCGTGTGGTTTATCTTTTTGTATCGCTGCGTTGCCTCGGGGGAAGAGACGCCGCCGTCCAGATCTTCCCTCTCGCTTGTGGAGAATAAAAAAAACACCACCGCGTTTAACTTCGCACTCGGCTCATCATCCGTCCGGGGGTCGATGCAAATCAGCACCGCTTTGTGGGGGAGCCCGGCAGTGGTCGTCCTGTGGGGTAGACTCGCCCCCGCTCTAGGAATGGAGATGAGCACAGAGGGTCCTCGGTGTTTTGTGGCTGATACACCCCGCAGTGTTCACCAGGGCAGCCTGCCGCACTCGAACCGCGAACTTCATGTCACCGCTGCTCATCAACTATCCCCATCCCTCCCACCCCGTCCATCCCCCTCCCTCCACCCCCTCCTCCCCCCTCCCGCCCCCTCCTCATTCCTCTACCCCCCTCCGTGACCCAGCGATGAACTTTGTCAAGTGGTGCGGATCTCGCGATGCCGCTGATCCATGCTGGAAAAAAGACCCCCAGGCGCCTCTCTCGTCCCTTCCATAATTTAACAGAATTATCTTCCGCACGATAAGTTGACAAGGTCCCATTCGGATGTCTTGGCGCGTGGCTTTAAACAACAAAAAAACTACAGCTGACCCCACGATGGCTTCAGGGACAGTTTTATTATTTGTTTAATCCCCATCCCCGACATCGAGGACATGGCCACTGTTGCTGCTGCTGTTGCTGCTGCTGTTGCTGCTGCCGCTGCATGCAGCCATCGACTGTAATCAGAAGGTCGATCTGGAACCTTCCCCAGGCAGAATGGGAGGGGGGGGGGAGAGATATGGAGAGCGGTTCTGAAATATCAAGCTTCATAAACAGGTCCCTACATCAATAATCACAACAATAATAATAGTCGTGATTAAAAACACATGCAATGTATTTATTCCGTTAAATACCCGTAAAATATAGATTTTTCGAGCTGGGTGGGGGGGGGGGTCAGATCACCCAATACTCAACCCCTCCTTGCACTAGGATCATCCCCTGGTTGGAGTTGATCTTCCCCTCGCTCTCTCGCTCGCTGGTCTCGCTCTGCATCACGAGAGAGTAATCTTGGCCTTGGCCCCAGAGACCGACCCTGCTGACGCGCCAAACCTACTCATCGCGTTGACCCATAACCCCCGACCCCGGCGTGACCCGGTTCGCCATGTGGTCTCATGGCTCAACCAAGCCTACTCGCCCATCGGGGGACCCGTAAACAGCACTACGGATGGTGTGAATAGATAAGAGCGAACGCACGTCTTGAATTGAGCAAGGTTATAGGAGATTGGGAAAAGAGACTATGGGAATGCCAAATCCTCAAACTGGCAAGCCAGCAACAAGCAGCACTAGCAAAGTTGTAATAGATGAGAATTAACAAGTATTGGGAATTTAGCAAGGTTATTATGAGAAATGGGGAAGAGAGATGACGGGAGTAAGGGACTTCCAAAGTGGAGCAGTGCGAGGGAAGAAGCAGAAAGAGAAGTGGTGTGACCTGCTGTGTGGTGAGCGGGTGGGTGAGTGGATGTGTGAGTTCATAGGCGAGTGAGTGGGTGGGTGAGTGAGTGTTTGAGCGAGTGAGTGAGTGGGTGAGTGAATGGTTGAGGGATTCAATGATTGAGTGAGATGTTGAGTGGGTGAATGGGTGGGTGAGTAATTTAGCGGGTCAGGGGTTGAGTGGGTGAGTGAGTTAGTGTTCTGACCTGCAGTGTGGTGATGATGGTGGTGGTAGTGGTGGTTGAACTCTGTCTGGATGACGCTGTGAGCGTCTGGTAAAGACCGAGTCCTCAACACGGCTGGAGGAATCGGCCGAGTGGAGTTCGCGGGGGCACTCAACCCACGGCAGTCGTCGCGAGAGGAATTCAATTCCAACCACAAGGCGCCCCTCGCGCAGCGGAGACGTGGGTGGGGTGGGCGTGGGAGACAAGAGACGCAGCAGATGTCCCATCAGATGGCCGACGTTGGCCGCCCTGCGTCAGCAGCTGCTAACGACCTCTCTCTGCGTCTTCGCGGAATCACTCGCAACGTCCCCAACTCCCACCCCCCCCCCGGGCTATCGACTCCAACGCACGAATGTTCGGGCTCGCTGAACGCAGTGGGCTCGTCCAGCTTGTAAATGTCGGCGTGAAGGCGCTGGGGAGGTGTTACGAAGGGCCCGGCCGTAAATGTGAACAAACAACCAACTTGAGTTCCCTTGGCCAATCTGGTTTGATGTGGTGATTATTGTGCCAAGACTCGATCCCTCTCCTTTTCGTATGGCATGTGACAAGCACGTGATGACACATCACAGCGTTGTGTTGATCATCTAGTCCAATGCATCGGGAGTTACTGATGATGTAACTCACGATGCCTCGGAGCGTTCGAACCTCCTACACGCACCGCCTACTGCACCATCGCTATACTCGTTGGTACCTCGTGCGGATGCACACAAAGGGGCAGTGGCCGATGACGTGGAGAACAGATCACGCCTCGCCACATTCACAGAAGGGCGACTTTCATTCCTCATGAGTGTTCACCCGGGGCCACGTCCGAGGCGTTATTCTTCTCCTGACGAAGGATAGCGGCTTGAACGTCGCCCGGATCAACACCGTCCGCGTCCCCAACCGAGTCGCCGGGATTTGGGCCGAGAAAAATGAGCAGCAGCAGCAGCAGCGACGACACCATCAGGGAAAAAGCAGGCGAATTCCGAGACTACGAAGATGATGAGAATGGCGAATGAAGACTTAAAACCGGAGAAGAGAGGGAGACCGAACAAAGAATGGCTTTGGTTTAACACGCGGGTTTTCGCGACCAATATCATCCATGATACCGTTGTTTTTTTTTGTGTTTGGGTTAAATCGCGTAAATATATAAATGTGTCGTCAAACGCGCCACCATCCGACACGGCCACTTAGTAAGGAGTGTCACTTGAACAGAACGTGGCCAATTGGTCACTAGTACAGCACCACCGTTGTGTGTCGGAGAGCCAAGCCACAACATTTGCAATCTGAGTACGACGTTTCGCCAGCGATTACAACTAGCTTCATCAGGCAGACAGCCAGATTTTGTGGAGAAGTCCACCGTCCGCCCATTCGTCAAGAGAACGGCTTAGGCGACGGCATCACAAGATATTGGTGCCAGGAGCATGTTGCACTACTTGAGCATTTTGGCACAAGACAGATGAAAGTGGAAACAATTTCAACAACAATAACAAGCGACACGCGCAGTGGACGCCTACCACGGGCTATCTGCCCATGGATCGCGATGATGACGACGATGATGTGGGAACCAAGGTCGCAGCTGCCTGCGAATGCGCGCAGCCCCAAGGCTCGCGTGGAGCCGATGGCTCTCCCAACTTTGCCCCGGTTCTGTGCGAATACACAGCGGTGCTGCAAGGCGTCTCCGGCATAAGGTTCAAGTCCAAATTTATCCTTCCCCGGGTCAACCTAGCTTGATCTGGTGACAAACGACAAAAAATATATCAAGACTGCCGATGCTCTCTTAATCGACTGCCTTGACCGGCTTGCTGGTTGCGGTAATGCCCAGGCGAGCGAGCGAGTGTCTGTGTGTAAAAGTCTGCGCGGCTGATTTCCGACAAACGCGGCTTCCCTAATGCGTAATGGGTGCATGATGCGCTTATAACCGGCAGTGTGGGCTCCATTAGGCAGGCTATATTTATTAGGCTATTTCAAAATCAACATCCCCCCCTCCCCCATTACTCACGCGCCCGGCAGACACGGGGGCCCGTTCGCGCCGCACCACCACCACCACCCCCGCAAAGCAGAGTACGCATTGCATTGATCGCTCGCTTCACAGCTGTTTGCCTTAAGTGCGTCGTGCCGCTGGGGTCAGGCAACGCATTGTTTATTTTATTCATATTAAGCGCCGAGACGGCCGGAAATGTCAAACTTGGACCGAATTCACTCTGATGCGATCGATGCGCCCGCACGCCTCTGTCACGCGCGCTCGCGCGGGCGTGCGCGCGCGTGTGTGTAAGTGTGTGTGTGTCAGTGTGTGTGTCAGTGTGTGTGTCAGCGTGTGTGTGTCAGTGTGTGTGTCAGTGTGTGTGTGTCAGTGTGTGTGTCAGTGTGTGTGTCAGTGTGTGTGTGTCAGTGTGTGTGTCAGTGTGTGTGTGTCAGTGTGTGTGTGTCAGTGTGTGTGTCAGTGTGTGTCAGTGTGTGTGTGTCAGTGTGTGTGTGTCAGTGTGTGTGTCAGTGTGTGTGTGTCAGTGTGTGTGTCAGTGTGTGTGTGTCAGTGTGTGTGTCAGCGCGTATGTGTCAGTGTGTGTGTGTGTCAGTGTGTGTGTCAGCGTGTGTCAGTGTGTGTGTGTCAGTGTGTGTGTGTCAGTGTGTGTGTGACAGTGTGTGTGTCAGTGTGTGTGTGTCAGTGTGTGTGTGTCAGCGTGTGTGTGTCAGTGTGTGTGTCAGTGTGTGTGTCAATGTGTGTGTCAGCGTGTGTGTGTCAGTGTGTGTGTCAGTGTGTGTTTGCGTGTTTCTGTGGGGAGCGGTAATGTAGCAGTTAGCGCGCTGCGCTACGAACCTGGAGACCCGGGTTCTATTCCGCTCACGGCCAACGCCAGCGACGATTATCTGAGCCGCTTCTGGGCCTCCCCTAGGTCGACTCAACATCAAATGAGTACCTGGTGCGGTGTGTAAGCATCGCCACTGGGGAGACAAGGGCGGTCGGGCGTGGTGTTGGCCACCCACCCCCTCGTGTGCCGTATCGGCCTTCATAGGTGCTCGCTAACAGCACTAGCCCCTACAGTCTGTTTAGGCTAAACGGGGGATATTTATCCGTGTGTTTCTTAAGAAGCGACGGTGCTATTTATTCAGGACAGACACGCCGAGTCTCAAGACTCGCCTTCGCGAGGTTCCTGCTACGTTGTGTAACGTCTGGCTCGGTTCTTTTTGTAACTTTCATTTATGGGAGGAAGGCCGAAAGCCCAGACCGAAACGCACTCACCTTCCGCGACAACACGTGGATGTCTATTATTGTGGATGTCTATGATTGTGGATGTCTATGATTGCGGGTGTCTATGATTCTGGATGTCTATGATTGTGGATGCCTATGATTGTGGATATCTATGATTGTGGGTGTATATGACTGTGGATGTATATGACTGTGGACGCCTATGATTGTGGATGTCTATGATTGTGGATGTCTATGATTGTGGATGTCTATGATTGTGGATGTCTATGATTGTGGGTGTCTATGATTGTGGATGTTTATGATTGTGGATGTCTATGATTGTGGATGTCTATGATTGTGGATGTCTATGATTGTGCATGTCTATGATTGTGGATGTCTATGACTGTAGATGTCTATGATTGTGGGTGCCTATGATTGTGGATGTCTATGACTGTAGATGTCTATGATTGTGGGTGCCTATGATTGTGGATGTCTATGATTGTGGATGTCTATGATTGTGGATGTCTATGACTGTGGATGTCTATGATTGTGGGGGACTGATGACTGCTCTGGAGAGCCGACAGGGGAGTGCGCGTGCGGTCATTGGAAACTGTCTCGCGTCTCGTAGAGGCATCACCAATCATCGCGGGTGTCCCGACCGGCTCCTGGACAACAGCCGCTTGACTCGAGAGAACAGCAACAAAGGCACCCCCACACATATTTGCGACATCACCTTTTGTTGTTTTGCTTTGCCTAGGGCACCCCGAGATGAACACGGAGCTTGTGGTTCACCTCTCTCCACGGCGAGCGCCGAGAGAGAGAGAGAGAGTGCGCTCATCACGCACCAGAGGGGAGGGAAATAGGAGCTGGGGGAAAGACACTCGGAGAATTTAAATTAAGCGCCGTGGTGGCTACGCTGCTGCTGCCGCCGCTTGCCACCGCCGCAAGTTGTCCTTGCCGTAATTATCCGGCACTGTGGCGGCTTCAGCTAGGGTTGGTGGATCACACACAGAGGTGTTGCGACATTTCCTTCCCGTGGGCGTCGAGCAGAAGCCGTACCCTGGACGCCAGGAGAAGGCGGCAGGGCAAGTGCGGGCTCATCTCCGTCTGTGACATCTGCGCGGGATCGAGTGTTGCCCCCTCGCACGTGTGGGTTTCCCTACGGGTGCTCCGGTTTCCTCCCACGTGTATAACAAACACTCGCCACTCATTGGCTGAGAGGAGCTTCGTCTGTAACGCCTCTGAGTGTTGTGAATAGCGCAGTGTTGAAGTTGCACAAATGGCGGTGCTATTAAAAAAAAACACGAAATATTATATTTAAATTTTTAAAATCACCCAGTGAATGCTGCTATACATCTTTACTAATGTAAAGTGATATGAGTTATTTTATGTACGTTTTATTAGGTGTTTTATCATCATCACCATTACAGCAATCAGACCATTAAATTACATTGTTATTTCGTACTGTAATTCCCCGATTCCCGCGTTTGATATCAACGTGCATGTCAGAGAAGAGCCGCGTGTGTTGTCTACACGGGGAGTTTGATGTTTACATCGCTTGCAAGCGCTCCGTGAAACTGCCAATATCCTCAAACAGCACAAGACATTTCCTGGCGATTCAGAATGTTGGGGAAAAAATCATTCTTGCCAAATCCTTCAAAACCATCACTTTAAAATACATGACGATTCCGCACTATTCTCCGTGATTGTGTATTCCCTTTTACCTTCACTGACAACTCAAAGCGCAGCCCCTACAATCACCTACTCGCGACACTGCTGGCAAAACGGCCTCCGTTGCAGGGAGCCCTGAACGGCCCCTCGAGAGCGCATTTGGCCTGATCGTCCACGCTGGCCGGGCAACTTTGAAAGCGGCGGGGATACTCACACTTTACCCCACTTTCACGATCGACAGCGACGGACTCATTTACACCGCTGGGTAAACGGAGGCATTTGGAGGCAGTCGATGTGAGAGAGGGGGAAGGGTGGTGGAGTTTTAAAAAAACTTTCCCCCGCTATTTCAACCGCCAGCGCCGGGTGGTGACCTCGAACCTCTGGGATTCTGGACTGCAATCTGCTGAGCGTTGCACCACCGCTGTGGCAAAGTAAGCGAGAAGCAAGAAAGAAACATGTTTTTCATATTGCGCACTTTTATGAGTCCGGTCCATCACGAATGCGCGTGAGATGTAACAGAGAGCCGGCAACGTGGAATGCGTTCACGCGCAGGAGCGCCACACCCAAGGCGAGGTTGCCTTATTCAACAGACGCTGAGTTCGTTTCTTTGGGTTTTTTTTGTAATAAACACGGAACCCTCCATGCTGCTGCTGTTGTCACAATCGCTTAGAGAAGAATAATAAGAACGTGGAACTATACGCTCCCCCCTCCCCCACCCCTGTTCTTGATAAGCCGCACCACTGGCCCAACGCCGTGCCTCGATTCCCATCCGTATTTGTTTTTTTTTCCCTTTTACATTTGCTGTTGTTTGGTTTAACAAACAAAAAAAAATCCAGTAACCGTGGCCAACCGCGGATGTGTTTTTTTTTTTTGGTCAACATTAATGAAACTCGCACCGACAAAGCCGCTCAGGAAGGGGCAATCACAACTGGGCGCGGAGCTCACAGGGACGGGGGGGCCACGTGCCGCACTGGCGACGTTTGCAGTGCCGCGTGAGGATACGTGAAGAGCGAAAACAAACAATCAGCTCGTCTGCTTCACACATCTCTCCCTTCCGCGCGCAGTCCGAGCATTTGTCAAGCATCCCATCGGCCACACGGCCTGCTGAGAGTGCTGGGAGTGCTGGGGCGTGTTGGGAATGCTGGGAGTGCGTCATTTCACCAGCATTTGGTTCGACACAAGCACACTCTGGAGCGCCTTCAACAGTCGGTGTCGCGTGATTCGCGTCCTGCTTGCTTGCACCAATGCTGGCGCGTCACGAGACGTGTCTAGCCAAGGAACGCTCTCTGCTCGACAGCGTCCGCGTGAGATGCAGGACTCTGTGAGACGCGGTTACCTGTAGAGCACGGCGACATATCCGCAACGCTGCCTCGGTCTAAGCAGCCAAATGCCTACATACTCGCATAGCTGCCCTTGCCTCTGCGTTAAACAAATAAAATTTGAACCAACGCTGTCTGGTTCAATAAAAAAAAAATCTCCCCACGGCCGTAGCTGCGTGTGCAGTTTGATTAAAAGAAAAATACTTTAATTAAAAAAATAATAATTATTAGAATAATAAACAAAAATAATACCACGAGCATTAACCGCCCGTCGCTTCGTGAATTATTCAGGTCACTTTTCTGAATGCGATTCACCCACGATCATTTTACGCGACGGCAAATGCAAATTTGGGCAAATTGTCGGCCCAGCAACAGCCGTTGAGCCTTAACTAAAGATTACAAATTCTCAATGTCCTATTATTGTACCGTGGGCGAACGTACAAATCATAATAAATTAGATTTTTAGGTTTGTAGTAGCCATTCTCTCTGCATCTCTCTTCCCCTGAACGTCGGCTTGTGGAGTGAGGCTATTTACGACGTCTATTTAATTCGCTAGGACTATTCCCCCTCCTCCCCACCCCCCCCCCCCCCCCCCCCATTTAATTTTACGACAGCAAAAACGACGCACGAGACGCACGGAGAAAGTGAAACATTAAGCATAAAAAATGTTTCCTGCGGGGACAGCTTCGCGTGAGATGAATCGCAATGCTTTGAGGAATACGTTGGATATACTTTTGTGGTATTATTCGGTAAAGTCAATTTACCAAATAGAAACAAAGAGTATGGATCCTTGCAGTCACGAACGCTTCAAATCTAGAATACGTTGGAGCCGGGGACGCGAGGCCCTGCTTATAACCGCCACGAATTCTCGGCCCAGTAAAGCAAAAGCGGCGCATTGTTAGGCCGACGCTCAATTCCGCACGCATCCCTTATCTGTCCGGAGATTTACCGAGCGGCACCGTTGCGTTTTACGCGTCAGCCCGCCCCGTGTGCCCACGTGACGGGGAGGTAGATTGACCAGGGCAGTGACTGCATCGACCCGGTCATCTGTTAACCTTTGCGGAATCGGTGAGCCGGTGCCGCTAAGATC